GCTAGTGGGACCTCACCCCTGTACATATAGGGCCTTTCCGCACGACGCAGCCACATCAGTGAAATGGCGGGTTTATCTTCAGTCGTAATCCAAGAGAGATTTCGTTGAAGCTGATTTTGTTTTTTGACCTCGGGAAATTTAGCCTCGTATTTTGGCAGGGAAAACATCCTGTACGTATAGGGCCTCGATGCTTCACTACTCAACCACATTAGCGAAATGGCGGGTCCGTCTTCAGTTAGAAGGTGGAAATCTACACCCCCCCATGTTTGTTGTCTTTCTCAAATTTGGTCAGTGGCGCGGCGAGACTCATAGGCTCCTACGCAAGGAGGATTCCCTACATGAAGCATATCCTACCAAGGGAGCACCAAACAGGTGCTGCTAACCATCAAACGAAAAATGAGCACCAAACAGGTGCTGCTAAACCATCAAACGAAAAGTGATGGCAAAATGACCCTCCGAGGGCATGTGCCCAATGTTTTTTTTTTTTTTTTTTTTGAAGTTCAGAAGAGGCCGGGGACCTCACAATTCAACCCGGATGAACATACTGGGGCCATTACCCAGCTTCGGCAGAACTGGAAACCGGGTCCAGTGTCCCATTTTCCCACTCTGTTATCTCAAAGAAGCTTCTCAAAAAATTCCCCTGAAGCGCAGTAAAAAGGTCTTAATACCTATCCGGCATCCTAAAAGGGTTTCAAATGCATTTCTGAGCGTGAAGCACCAGAGCTGAAAAGCCAGCTAACCCTACGGGATTGTAATCTTAAGTGTCTAAATCGACAACACCCTTAACCTTCCAGCAATTCAAAATCCATGTTCGAAAATCTACAGCAAGTCCAGCCTATGCAGATGGCCAGAAGACGGTAAACTGCCATTTGAAAAATTAAACCCTAATAAACAAAGCCAAATAACAGATTATGAACTGGAAGGGAAACTGGAAAGTTGAAGAAGAGGATTGGCCCAAGGAGCAGCTCGAGTAATTTCCACCGAATACAGCACCAATACTGGCCCGACAGAGCAGCTAGTAGCTGTGGGGAGCCTGGGTTGCCGTGACGAGGTTTCCCACCTTGCACCCTTGGACCTCTGTAGGAACTGCCATCTCCCAGGCACCCTAGATCTCAATGGGTACAACCCAAGTTTGCTCTCCTGCCAGCTAAATGCTATTCAGTTGCGCCATAGTAGGTCAGCTACGTTCCCACAACTATTAGGTCTCCCACCAACTCCAATAGTTCCGTTGCCTTCTACGAAACACCCCCAACCTTCCCCATTTACCAACCAAAATAAAGCCAAGAACCCGTAGAGAAGATTCCTTAAAATAGCCTCTAGATTAGGTGAGATTCGGTGAGATAAACGTTACCCGCGATTTTGGAATTACTATATTATACTAGGGCTCTGAGTTAGGGATAGGGATGGAGGGTTGAATCCAACCTTACGACCCAATGCAGAGTGTGAGCAAAATACTGCACTACTAACATGAGGTTTTCCATATAAGAATAACAAAAGCAGAGTGCACCAAGCAAAACATACACCCAGATACAGAATACTGACTAAATGCGATCAGGATTGCCGCCAGTGACACCAAAGCACATAGTACGAAGAGCTTGAGAGCAGGTGAAAGTATTTCCTGATATTATCGTATACCACAGACATGAAGTAAACCACTCATAAGGAGTAGAAAAATATGGCTGGGTTAATGCACTCAAAATATTATTTCGTACTAGAGAGTGGCTTAATTAACCCTCAGTGCCCTTGATTCCAACGGGGACGCTCCCAATACCACCAGAGGAACTCCCACTCCCATTGGTGGCGCCGCCGCCCGTAGAGCTTCAGGTCTTCACGCTCCCAGTCGAGATAGTCGACAGTAGTTCTCACGTGCTCCTCCCAACACCAGTCCCACCACCACCGGCTGCCCACCCACTGCCTCCAGAGGTGCCGCTGTTGGATGTGCCCGCTGCCCAGTACTTGACTCGCTCTCCCTTCGTCATGTTCACACTGCACTCGTTACTTGACTCTTGTAGATTTCGACGTAGGAAGTCCGTTGGAGTTGGAAACGCCCTGCTCCCTGGTATTCCACAGGGAGGCACAGCCCCTTGTCGGAGCTGAGGGCGATGGCCGAACCTAGAAATCATCGAGGAATACATCGTTCCGCCCCACAACCTGAATCCCGCCCTTGCTGCCGACGCAGAGCGCTGCCGTCTCCGGACAGCGAATACGGCGGGTAGCGCAGCGCTTCATCGGACTGCGTTCCCCCCATGTGCCCAATTTCAAAGAAGTGAAAACAAGAAAAGAAACAAAAAGAAGTTTTCACGAGATCGCTGTATCTTAGTAATACCCTATTGGAGAACTGATAGGTCTTGCTTTTCCGGGTCCCTCCCCCCCCCCCCCCCCCCCCCCCTGTGTATTTTTTTTTATTTTGGGGGAACCCCCCCATGGTTTTCATAGCAGTGGAAACTGGAGAGCGAGTTGGGGAAAAAAGAAAAAAATAATTCCTTTCGTTGATGCCGCTTTTCTGTTCGTCGTCGTTGGAGGTATTATCGTGTGTAGTATCGCATGTAAAACGTAGTCAAACTACCGCTCTGTCATAAATGTATCTGATCGCATTTACGGTAGGACCTGGATGTATATGACCCTAATTACGTCTATAAATAAGTGAAAAGGTCCTACTGTGAGAGTATGCCCTCAATCTTTTGTGTGACATGTTTCGGATGCTCGTGAATGGATCATCAACACGTGAAGGTGGGGCATCAGGTCGAAAGGACGGTAGCCACGGTAGCGCCTTTATGGTCGTGTAATACTGTATTAAATTATTAATAGTAATAAAAAAATGACGACTATTGCCCAGCCGCTGCCCTCCTCCATCTCTCTGGGATGACTTGTGCGACAAGCCAAGACGTCTGTCATTTTTCAGAAAAGAAAAAGGTAGCGTCGACATTCTCGTCATCGTCGTCGTCGTGATCGTCATCATCGGTGATCATCACTGTCTCTTTCGACTTCTGCTATTCTAGACCCTTCCCTTGTTCTTTGTGTTGAACTGACTTGTACGCTCGGTTAAACTCTACCAGATGAGGGCATCCCCAGATCAACAGAGGGAACAGGCACTCTTCTTTTTTTTTATTTTTTTTAAAGCTGGTACCTCCCTTTTGACAGTTGGTTCGAGAACAAGGTTGCGACTCACGTGAAGACTTTTTTTTTTAATGTACGGTAAAGGCCGCTTCTATGTACGGTTTTTTTTTTTGTTTTTTTTTTTTTTTTTTTTTTTTTTTTTTTTTTTTTTTTTTTTTTTAAGTTGGTACCTCCCTTTTGACAGTTGGTTAGAGAACAGGGTTGCGACTCACGTGAAAACTTTTTTTTTCTTGTACGGTAAAGGCCGCTACTATGTACGGGCGGGCCCATGTAAGGGCATTACGATGATGAGGATGCCACGTGGAGCAATACGAGTGTCGATGGGGTGTGGCGGGTATTTGGAGTGTCGATGGGGTGTGGCGGGTATTTGGAGAAGACGGGGAGCGTGGACGACCAATAGGAGAAGAGGCAGTCACATACCCATCATCATCATCACCATCATCATCATCGTAATCAGCCTAGTCATCGGGGTAAAAAAAAAATCAATATCATCCATCATCATCACGATCGACATTGTCACCACCCTCATCAGCATTATCATTAACCATGACCATCACCAGCCGCATGGCTTTAAATCGTCATCATCATGATGGCCATGGTAATCAATGTAATCATCATCATCTTCGTAATCATTATAAACCTCCTCCTCACGATCGTCATTGTCACCACCCTCTTCAGCATCATCATGAACCATGACCATCGCCAGTGGCATGGCTTTAAATCTCCATCATCATCATCGTCATGGTTGTCAATGTAATCATCGTCATCTTCATAATCATTTTCAACCTCCTCCTCCTACCTTCTTCCCCTGAATACAACGTACGGTCATTATAGCTGCATTTGGGGTATCATCCTGTCTAAATACAGCTATAATGACCGTACGTTGTATTCGGGGAAAGAAGGTAGCCATTGTTAATACAGTCATCGATCAGAATGCACCACGATAGTCATCATCCAATCACCGTCGTCATCGTCATCACCAGCATCATGCCCATCAAGCTGTAGTACCCTCCGTGAGCTGTCCTCACGCTGTTGTGAACCGTTGCCAGCTCTGGACCCATTTGTAGGCTGCGGTGTTTTTTTTCTTTTTTTTTTTTTGAAGGGGAAAGTTAGCAGTACACGGGCTCTCTCCAAGAACCCGCCGATCGTTAACTTGTTAGTGGGCCATCGTTTTGGTGGGTATCTCCGTAGCACAGACTCGCTGATGGTGTTCCAACCAAAACACGTTGGATACCACTGCCATTGGCCAAGTTTGGAGACTTGGGGCCTCGCTCCACTACTCAGCAAATGTGCAACATGAGAATGAATCTTCCTCTAGACCATGGGAAGATACGCTTCCGTATTTGAAAAAGTGGACCTGACACTCTTTCTGTGTCTGATATATATCTATATACAGCGGATGGCCTTGTTCGACACCAAGTAGTTGGTATCCCAATGGGTACAAACGCTGGTTCTGAGATTGCTAACCTCACACTCTATTGGGATGAGGCGCAGTATGTGGACAACCTGCAGCGTGCGGATCCGTCTGCAGTCCGCCGATATGTTTTCACTTATCGGTTCATTGATGATGTTCTTACCTTTGATCGTCTGCCACCATCGCCAGCCTATTATGGTCTTGAATGGAAAGAGACCACTGCGGTTGATGGCTCGTGCACCTTTTTAGGTGCGAATCTGCAGACACGGGCAGACGGATCTCTCCGATTGAGTGTGTTTGATAAGACTGTTGCATGGGATTTTCCTGTTATACGATATCCTAGTGCAACGTCGAACATTCCATCTCATCAGCCTGCAGGTGTGTTCACCGGTCAGCTTACGCGGTTTGAGCGGATCTGTGACAATTGGCGTGATTTCAGCGCTTTGGCAACCATGCTTGTCCGCCGATTGCTTTCTCGTGGCCATGCTCCGTCAACATTACATTCGGGCTCGCCAGCGTCGACACCCTGTACGTGAAACTCGTCTTACACAGTGGTTTCGACGTATGCTTCGCTGGTCCGTGCATCGTCCTCTTCCACCTTCTCCTCCCCTTTCCTTCCCCCCTCCTTCCTCTTCCTCCCCCCCTCCTCCCCCTTCCTCTTTTCCATCTTCTCATCCTCCTCCTCCTCCCCCTCCCCCTCCTTATCCATCTTCCCCTCCTCCCCCTCCTCCTCTCCACCTCTCCCTTCTTCTCTCTCCTTCCCCTTCTGCTTCCCCTCTGCCTTGCTCTCCCTCTCCCTCTCCCCCTCCCTCTCCTTCTCCTCCCACATTGCCTGCATCTTGTCATCTCCTCCTCCTCCTCCTCCTCCTCCTCCTTCTTCTTCTTCTTCTTCTTCTTCTTCTTCTTCTTCTTCTTCCCCATGCCGGCTGAGACCTGACCCTCCCTTATCTTCGTTGTCCATATTGGGACGTCGGCCAGGCTCGTTCATTCTCCCCTCCTCTCAATCCCCCTCCTCCTCGGCGTCGTATTGATGGTAATCTGCGGGGTTCTTTGTCTTACCGGCAGCCTGCTCTACCACGTCGACGGCGCCGACCCCACCAGATCAGATCTGGCTTTCCAGTGGTGACCGATTCGGATCTGCAGGCAGATCTATCAAATATTTGTGGTTTGACAGCCACAAATGTCTTCCTACGTTCATTCTCCCCTCCTCCCAGTCCCCCTCCCCCTCGGCGTTGTATTGATGGTAATCTGCGGGGTTCTTTGCCTCACCGGCAGCCTGCTCTACCACGTCAATGGCGCTGACCCCGCCAGATCAGATCTGGCTTTCCAGTGGTGACCGATTCGGATCTGCAGGGATACCTATCAAATATTTGTGGTTTGACAGCCACAAATGTCTGCCTACAGGCTTATCAGCGTCAATGTTATACTGCATCCCAATTTGTTACGATTGCTTATCAGCTTGACGCTGTTGAAAATCAGTTGTTGTATGCTCATAATAGTCCACCTCCTGAAGGCAGTAACTATACTACCTCAGGAGGCTTTACTGTAAATGTCCAACAGTTACCGTTTCACGGCCGCCACCTTCTTATGCATCATGCGACGCCAGGCGAGGGCCTTAATAACCATCCTCATATTTCTGCCTGCATTTTACACAGACCCGGCTGCCTAGTGGGAACTGTGGGATGGTGGGACGACGAGTCAAGCTATTTTTGACGTTAATGAATTTTTGGGTGCATTGTCCAATCATACTTATTCTGGATTATTGACCCACTCTCGTGTGACACCTGTCGGGACAGAGACGCGGTGCGCCTTGGCTGTGGAATTCATCATCTATGCCATAGCCATTACCAATCTATTGCGACTGCCGCCGTCTGTACTGAAGGGTGTCCAACATTTCCTCATTGTTCACATCCCTGTCACCCAGATATACGTTGTCCCTTTTGTGCCCAAGGACGCTATCAGAACTGCATGATGCTGCACTGTGATGGACGTCCTGCTGTTTTTTTGACATGTGGACAACATGTCCTCTGTCAGGACGGTTTTGATGGGATGGTTCGTGCTAGCCGTCCTGCTGAATGCTGTGCTGGCGCAGCCGTCCTTGGGTATCCTTATGAACATCCACATCATCCTCACCGTAGCTGTCCTATCTGCCGAGGTGGGGACAGTTAAAGAGAACAAAAGAAAAAAAGAAAAAAAGAAAAAGAAAAAAAAGGGCGTTGGGGACTCTGCATGTATGTTGCCTGCTGTTTTGCTGCATGTGTGATACCGAGTATATACGAGGTTGGGGGCTCTGCGATGCCTCCGTTTTATAACTAGGTTGGGGTATGGCGGCGGCGGCAGCAGGGAGGGAGGTATGGCGGTCCAAGAAGAAGAAGAAGAAGATGGGCGGAAGAGGAGGAGGAGAGAGGAGGAAGGAGAATAAGATGAGGGGGAGGCGGAGGAGGAGAGAAGAAGAAGAAGAAGAAGAGGGAGGCAAGGCGGTAGGGTATGGTGGCGACAGGGCGGTAGAGTACGGTCCAAGCAGGGCGGTAGGGTATGGCGGTCCAAGAAGAAGAAGAAGAAGAAGAAGAAGAAGAAGAAGAAGAAGATGGGCGGAAGAGGAGGAGGAGGAGAGAACAGGAAGGAGAAGAAGACGGGGGGGAAGAAGAAGAAGAAGAAGGGAGCAGTTTTCTATATTTTTTTTCTCTTGCCTCTCGTTTATCTCGCGACCTATCGCTGACGAATGGAACGAAAAAAAAAAAAAGATAGTCGGAAGAGGAGGAGGAGGAGAGGAGAAGAAGAAGAAGAAGAAGAAGAAGAAGATGGGCGGAAGAGGAGGAGGAGAAGAGAAGAGGAAGGAGAAGAAGATGAGGGGGAGGCGGGGGAGGAGAGAAGAAGAAGAAGAAGAAGGGAGCAGTTTTCTTTTTTTTTTGCTTACCTGTCGTTCATCTCGCGACCTATCGCTGACGAATGGAACAAAAAAAAAAGAAAAAGAAGATAGTCGGAAGAGAAGAAGAAGAAGAAGAAGAAGAAGAAGAAGAAGAAGAAGAAGATGATGATGAGAGGGGGACGGGCGGCTCCACGGCGACGGGCGACGGGCGAGTACGGCGCTGGTGACTCCAAGACGCTGGCAACGGGCGACGGGCGGCTCCACGGCGACGGGGGAGTGAAGCTCCCAGGCGATGGCGACGGGCGGCTCCACGCCGACGGGGGAGACAACGGGCGGATCCACGACGATGGGCGGCTGAACCACGAACTGCGCCGGCAGGGGAAGACCAAGGCCCCGTTTGGACAGCCGATGCAGGCCGCCGCAGCCATTTGGCTGTTCAAACGGGTCGTCGTTTTCCCTCCAAACATCAAACGGCCCTCTGGCCGTCGATCATGGATGATCGACGGCCGGAGGGCCGTCACAATTTCAAAAAAAAAAAGCTGGCCTCACGGGCACGACGCGCCTTTTTTCAGGCCTAGTCGAACCCGGTAAGCCCTGGGGACACCAGCTCACGGCGATTCGGGGTCTGAAACCCCCCCCCCCGACAAGGTGTGCTGGGGGTGCCCGGCCCCCAACCGGGCCACCCGCCCGGCCAGGCCGCCCGGGACCTCCCCCGGGCAGGCGCTGGTCGGCCGTGCGGCCCGGTTCCGTACCCAGAAAATAAGAAAAAAGAAAAAGTATGTTGATCTATGGGATGTGGTATTTGCTTTGTGACAATTGTATTATTTGTGGGATGTGTCATTTGCTTTGTCTGACTGATACACTTTCTTTCCTTGTCAGGTTTGGTTTCCTCCTTTTCTTTACCTCTTTGCCTTTTGGCTGCGTGCAAGTGGGTCCTTGTGACACATGGGGATGGGGGCAGCCAGCGCTCAACCTGTCATCCACGTGGCTGGCCTTGTACGTAAGAGGTGATGAACAGTTGGGGATTTCCTTTCCTTGTTTTGCTTTTTTCGGCCTTCGCGCTCTGATTTACAGTGTGACAATATATATGTAATGTGATAATATATGTAAAATGTTTGAAGATGCGTGACGGGTTGCCTAGGCTCAAATAAAATTTCACTATATGCGGGAATGTGCCCTGGCCTTCGGGCCTTTATTTTGTGCGTCAAATTTGACCATTCTCCCGAGTCCAAGCCATTTTGTGCACGTGGTGAGTAGTGTAGCGAGGCCCTTGGTGCATGGTTCCACTATCGCCCCAAGCTTGACTGTCAGAACACGTATCCAATATGTCGTCAGAAATTTTGCCATTGTTTTTCAGCGGCCAGGGTGTTTTTCCCGTTTTTCTTTTTGGGGTTTGAACATCAGTACGCGCGCCCTCAGCCTTGGGACAGTAAGAGTGCCTCTGAGGAAACCTTTCTCGGCCTTTTGGCTAAGATCAAGTGTACTAAGAGTGTCCCAAGGTTGAGACCTTGCGGTCTATTGGTGGGGAGTGGCACCTGCTGGGAACCGGGTCCAGCGTCCTGCAAGGAATATGAGTGTGAAAGATATACAGAAAACCAAGTTGCGAAATCACACAGATGTCCAAGTAGTCGTGTACAAGCAGAGAGCACAATTGCACCGAGAATCCATCCAAATAGATCAATACAATGAAGTAATGAGCCAATGTTCAAGCCCTCAGGCCACACCAACACAGTATCCAAAGTCAGCGCCTAGCCTACCCCACTTGACTATCCTACCTACAGCTGTGTTCACGCAGCAGGCTCACTTCGATTCTTGAAGACCAATGTACATGATGTCAACACCATAGCCGACCTCTCTTCATGCACCAGGTACGTATCTCGTCACCCTCATCAGACCTTGATAGCCCACACACTTGCCTCCTTCCCTGAAGACCACCAGATCCCCCCCCCTTACCCTCTAGCACCCAGCAGCCCGGCTATGGCTGCCAGTGCACCATTGCCCTGCAGCGCCCCACTTCACCTCAACGCGCCCCACTTCACCTCAATGCGCACCGCAAGCGCACCGGCCGCAACGCAGCATCCAATGCAGCAGCGCAGCAGCGTGRCCGCATTGCCTSGGCGGGCCAGAATGCCTGGCCGGGGCCGCCTCTCTTCCTGTATGGAAGTGGCAGCCTCCTGGATGCTGCGTGTGGCCTGGCTGGAAGCTTCCAGTAGCTTCCTGTTGGGCCCCAGTTCCTGCTCCCAGGCCAGAGACTACAGTTGAGGGYCTGGGCCCTTTACAGTTGGGCACGGCCTGAGGGCATACTCACACGGGGACTAAAAGTCTCAAAAATTTGAGGCATTTGGTTCGGCTTTTTTGAGGCATTTGGTCCCCTTGTGGTCACAYGGGTGGACCTCGTCCAGAAAGGACGAAGTGGCGACCCTGACACTTTGCGTTCAGTGCAAGTGCACCCGCGGGGGGAGGACCAAATGAAAAGATGGATTTTTTTTAATTTTTTTTTTTCACGCTAGGATAACGCTTGCGCCTTATCTACAACTTAAATGTTCCTGGTCGTGCTTTCAGTTGTTTGGCGGGCAGTCTTCTTCGTCTACGATTCTCTTCAGTTCGCGAAAACAGAAAAAGGGTTTGCCCGCGGCCCCGCAGGCCGCTGACAGAAGGGTCACCGTTTGAGGCATTTGGGTAGCGAGCCTCTCCAATGTGACCCAAAAAATGACTCAAATTTTGGGATATTGGGTCTTTTGGTCCTCCTGTGAGTATGCCCTGAGTCTCYGGACTTGGGCCGTTTGCTGCATTTGCACAGGAMCCCGGGGTAGGTACATGGACARTACTGCTTTTGCTTAGGCCGGTGGCCACTTCATGATGTATCGGCCCTGCTTTGTGTGTATGTGCCCAGGTGCAACTGCCAAGGCCTGGGTCAACTGTACGATGCGGCTTAGTGAGGCTCGCGCGTCCATTCAACCAACTGGCGGGCTGCAACAGCCTGAATACGCATATATGAAAATGTCGAACTGTGGCCTCTATGAATATTCAGGCCCGCCTTCACTTAGGGTGGGCACTCGGCTTGCTGGGGGCCTCTGCCCAAAACATGTGTTTGCCCGATAAGGGCCCCTGTGAGGGCTCGTTCCTCGCAGTCCATTAACA